GCGAGGGGGCGCGCCGCCCCTTCAGGCGTGATAAACTCTTGATTGCTTCCCCGAAGCTCTAATGAGCCCGCGTGGCGGCCCGCAGCCGGGGCGTGCGGTGAAGAGGGAGGAGGGGGAGGAGGAGGAGGAGGAGGAGAAAAACAAAGACACACACACACACCTCACCACCCCCACTCCCCCCAAATCAGATTTAACTTTTGAAAGTATTCACAGATTAATAAACTTACAATTTAAAAAATAGAAGCACATTCATCTTCAGAAAGCTCGGCTGAGTTAGTGGCAGTTTATGTTATTGTGAAATAGAAAGTAACAGGTTAAAGAAAGATGCCATTAAATAAATATATACGTACACACGAGAGGCCTGTAATTCTACATCAGTTTGTCAGAAATCCCATTAAATCGTATGATCTTAACTGTTCTGGTTTATGGTCTCACTAGAAACCCTCGGTGGAATTACAGCCATAATACAGTCTGCAGTTAGCTGTCTCTGGTTACAACACAGAAGTAATACAGAAAAATCGAATTCGTAATAAAATTTGGAACTGACGAGCGGGGTGCTACTGCTATGAATGCTGAGTTATGCTCCCCGTGATCCCAGTTCTTTTTGAGAATCCACTGTAAAGTTAACCATGCATGACAGACTGAGCATTCTAGGCAGTGGGAACATGTCCTGCAATATTACTGACAGGTACTATTTTTTTTACATTGTAACTCTTAATAATAAACAAGTATTTTTAGTTTCTAAATTATGCAACTTCATTAAACCATTCCTTCTAAGGAATGCTAACAAGGTCCATTTATAAGCACTATAAGCATTAAAATTTTAAAGGCATATAAACATTCGAAATCAGAAAGCATGCAATCCAGGTAATAACATCATCCAGGGTTTTCTTATTAACTATTCATACTTAATTTGATTTTGCTGAAAAGGATTTACCAGTTACCTTGAATTAATGTATTGTCTGATAAGTTTACTATTTAACATCTAATTGACCATGAGGAAAGAAATGTCTGAAGACATGAAAAAACAGTAATTCATGAAGTATTTGTCATTGTCATTTATAATGGGATGAAAAGCATAGTAGGAGTATAAATCATCATGGAGAACATTGATGTGTGTCACTACTAGGCAAGGACATTTTTGCATGCATTATATCCACTGTCCATATGCAGGTCAGTGTATGGGGGAAAACTTTTTGAAAAAAAACTTGGCTCCCTGGTGCCCCTCCTCTGGCATGGGAGGGAGGTTTGCTCTTGGTGGCTGAAACACCCTCCCGCCGCTGAGGTTGCTGCTCAGGCAGCTGAGCTGACATCCAGCTTGACTTCCAACACAACTCAGGCTAAAATGCCTCCCTCTCTCTCCTGGCAAACTGATGCAATCACTTTGCAAATGAGGCCGAAAGGGGAGGCAAAATTACCATACAAAGCAGACTGAATCAAGGCTAAATTAGGCTCTATATCCTCTTGGGTTTGAGAAAAGGCATCAGCACTGGTTTAGAGTAAACGTTTCTTGACTCTGATGGCATTGATTTTAATGCACTTAAACATTTTTTAATTTGGTAGTTCCTTTAAGCTCAGTGGAAGAGAAAATGTTCTCTATAGTGTCATGGACAGGGCTGGAAAGAAGAAATGGAGGAGGGGTCTGTTTTCATAGAAGCATGATAGATCTAGTTTAGAAGAAGGTCTGTCTCACGATGACAACAGAAAGTAGGAGCAACTGGGGGTTGCTGTCCTCTCTGCTGGAGCCCTGTAGGGAATCCCCGATACTGTAAACTGTCTATGTGCAAAGAGGTAACCATTTTATTTGGATTTTGCAGATCCAAGGTATGCCCTATGGGAACTGTTTACTTCTCAGCGATGGTCCCGTCAATAACAGCACTGGAATCCCTTTCTTTTATGTGACGCCGAAGGATAACACTGTGGCAGATCTCCTGAAGAATCCCGTGGCTTCTCTGACCCTGCCAGAGGTAGATGGAAATTTCTGCAGGTAACACAGTTTTATCAGCCTACTACGACCTTCAGTGGGAACAGAGTCCTCAGAACAAAATGCTGGGTCCCCACCTTCAGTGTCTTGCCTTTATTTCTGGCTCTCATCATCAGCTACACACTCCTCCTTAGCTTTGGTTTGCAGTAAGTTGCCCCAGTAAAGCATGGTAAAGAAAAGCAGAATTGTCATTGAAGTATACTGTAGCATCAACAGCTACAGTGGCTTTCAGCTGGCACATGAACATACTTAAATTTTGATCTCCTCTCAGAGGTGCCAGATAAAATCTAGGTGTTCGAGATGCCCTGATAGCCCATAGCAGTCCAGTCAGTAAAGTCCATATTGCTTCAGGGGCTGTCCAAGTCACAGTAAAGCAGACACCCTTGCTCTGCTGAACAGCTCTGCTGAACAGCTCTGGAGGCCCTGCTGCTTGCGTTGACAGGGCTTTAGCTCTCCAGGATCTGTAAGGGGATCTCCAGCTCTTGGTTCACAAGTTATGTGCTCAGCACCATGCCACTCAGTCAGATTTCCACCTCTTCAGAGGGTACGATTGCATATGGTATCATTGCAAATTTTTGGTGCCTTGTGTATTATGAACGGTTGGCAAATGATCCCCCACATAAAGGAAGCTGGGTCTGAGATTTGCTGATCTACAGCCGGCCCCAGGCTCACCTCTCCAGAGACAGCAGTGAGTTGCCTTCTCTCTTCCTAATTGTGTACAATAAATAACTCCAGATCACTGAAGCTTTATGTATGTATAATGGATGTATGTAAACTCAAAGATGATTCAATTTTCCCCTGCATTCTTGTGTCCTTGAAAAAGACGTATCTCTGCCATATGTTTGTTTACATTCAAACGTGGCAAACTTGGCTGGGTCAGCCTTGTGTGAAGTGTTACTTCCAAAAGCCTCTTTACGTGATGCGGTACACGACACTGAAATCGTGTCAGACAGGACTCCATTACCAAAGCAGATCTTAGCTGATATTCCAAGGATAGAGAGAGAACTGGAAATTACAGGCTGCTTCAGAAAGAAACAGGACTGAAAGTTTTTACTTAAGGTTCTCTTTTGTAGGAGGAGAGGTTTCTCTTAAGAACTGGATGCCGGATTTCCCCAGCTGGGGATTGCCTTGGGTGTCACCCCGCCTCTCAACCCTGTTAGCTGAGAACAACACTGGAAAAAGCAGTGAATGGCAAATATAAAGCACATTACTCTTGCACTTGTGTGGTTTTGCCTCTAGAACATACTGTTTTCTTAAGAGTTACATGGTGGCAAAATGCAATGTTTCTTAGATCTAAGCAGTACAAGTGATTTCAGGCTGACATCGTATTCCCAAAGAATGCAAATCATGGCTTCCTCTTGCAACGTCAAACACCTAATAGGAACCTTCCATCGCAACATTTGTTAACGTAATTTAGCTTTAAATACTTGAGAAGGTCAACAGGGTGGCGAAGTTAACACTGGAATGGTTCTGCTTGTTCCTTGAAATTATTTCATTAAATATTTTGAATTAATCATTTAATAAATAAATGTATCCGTTCTTTCGTAACAGGCTAGTCGAGCTTAATCCGCTTTCTAAGCTTTCTCATTCAATCACATAGTGAGCTGAATATCTAGACCAAGTGCTTAAAGATGTATGTTAAGTCCTATGTCCTAGCACCTACCCAATGTCCTATTTTCAGAGGCTCAAGACTCAGAGCAGCTTCCATTGATGGTAACTGCTGGAGTTGGGCACTTCTGAAAACTACACACCTATTTAGGTATTTAAGTGTGAGCTTTCATCCCTGACTTTAAACAGCCACTCTTGAAAGTCTTTGCCTTTTATGTTTTAACAATGTCACTGCCCAATTTACCTGTTTGGGAAGTGCCAGTTCACCAACAAAAGAGAAATGCTGCATGATTTATCATAGAATTATATAGTCATAGAATGCTTTGGGTTGGAAGGGTCACCTAGCCCAGCCCCCCTGCCATGAGCAGGGACATCTTCCACTAGGCCAGGCTGCTCAGCGCCCCATCCAGCCTGACCTTGAACATTTCCAGGGGTGGGGCCTCCACTACCTCTCTGGGCAACCCGTGCCAGTGTTTCACCACCCTAATTCTATTTATGGAAATATGAAATTCGTATACGTCACAACCCTTCGAGAACATATATTCACTGTCTTTCTATTAAGTAACTACTAATTTCCAAACCAAACCACTACCCTTTTGTTCTGTGCGCCACAATGTGCTGCTGTTTGTCTTGCAGCCAGGGCAATCTGGATTCTGCCACCCAACTTTCTAGTCCCCTCTGCAGCCCAAGACCGCTCTCTCTGGCAACAAGAGCTCTCTGGGCACTGCCAAGGAACTAAGCCTGAATTTCCAAGACAGCTTAGGCCAAACTAATTACCAGTTGCCACATCCCTACTCTCCCTCCCTACCACCAGTCACATGGTTTCCCCCCCCGCCTCTCACATCAGCTCTGGGCTTTGCCTGACTCTGAGTTCAAACGTAAATCTGAAGAAAATTAATACAATGATGAGAATAAGGTTTTCTGCTGGTCCTTCTTCCTTTCTTCCCATGGCTGCTGCTGCTCCTGGCCATGCAATCCCACCCCCTCCCTTCAGCTGACCATATGGTGGGCCTATTTTAGCTCAGTAACCTGGCAGAAACCTCTTCCCCCTTTTTTTTTCTTTTTTTGCTAGATGAGATTTCTACTGGTTTAGTAACTTCAATCGGTTCCCCAAAAGGCAGAGGACTGCAAAGGAGAGAGGAAAGCAGAAGGTGGAGGAAAACAGGACATCCCCATTTTAGCATGTAACCATACTCTAAATATTGAGCTTACTACTGAACTGAGTACACAGATTCAGAGCCTGACCAGTGCTCCTTGCGTGATTTATTTTGTTCTTACATTCAGTTTGTTTTTCATTACTTCTGGTGTTCTCATCTGGAACAGATGTTGGCTGGCATTAGTGCAAAGAACAAGCGATACAGAGAATGAAAAGCTGGGACATTTGTTGAGCTGCAATTTGTCTTTTTGATGATAGCTAGGAAAATGTGAGCAAGCTCTGGGGCTGTCTCACAGCCAGGACGCATGTGGGCACCGGGACTTTGACTTTCTTCTTTCCCTTTCCCCTGTAACCAGGGTCAGAAATGAATTTACATTTTAAAAGTAGCAACCTGTGAGTGAATTCTACATTTTAAACTAGTAACATTTTAAACTGCAGCTGTGTACAGCACCCTACCGTTACCCCAGAGAGAGGGCTACTGGGGCCAGAGCGGCAGTGAGGAAAATACCAAGTGTTCCCGTGTCCCACTGCCAGTGCCTGGGGCTGCCTGTCTCCAGCACTGCCTGCAGCTCTGGATGTGCTGCCCGTGACACAGCCAGCTTGCCACCTCTTCCGTGGGCAGCCCAAGCACCCCTTCGGGGTGCACCCTACCTGCTGAGGTGGCCGGGCTGTGCCATGTAAACAGCACGTAGCATCCTTGGGGCAGGGCTTTATGTGGTGGCTCAGGTTTTGTACAGCTGGTTTCTGCCTCTTCTTTGCTCACTCTACGTGAGAGGCAAGACCTTTTACTCTGAAAGACCTGAAGTCCTGCTAGTATAAAGATGGTATCTGTGGGATTTCCTTTGCAAAGGAAAGTGTCCTTTATAGATGGTTTTAATACCAGAAGCTCTCTCAGCTGAGGGCATCATTGTTTTGGTTTCAAAATAATTATACAAACTAGCTAAATGAATAACGTTCTACATGAGAAAGTTCATGTCCTTGTATGCCAGCAATGTATTTGTAGCTTGTTTCCATGTGGAATTTTACTCAAATTTCATTATTAACCTACTCTAAGTTGTAAGAATTAAAATAAATGTGAAAGCTGGTCAATGCCTGTAGTCAATGCTCCTGGGAGTATCTGACTCTCTCCTGAAAAATGCTTCTGACCTATTGCATGCAAAAGAAATCTCTGGCGTTTAGAAAGAAAACATAGCTGACATTTCAATAGTCTTCTTGTATCTAATGAGTATCAAGTGACTTGTGTGCATGTACATCAGTTTGATATTAAATTTATTTAGTAGTGAATTTAATTTGTTTTGTTTCAGAACAGACTCCAAGTTTCAAACCATGGCAATAAATATTTTCACTTTTGGGAATGTGAGGAATACATAGTGGCCTTTTTGGGGCTCCAGCCTTAGTTTTAGTCAGCTGGAGAGAAAACCTGAAAAGCCTAAACTAATAAGAGAAATAAATAACGTTTAATAATGAAAGAAAGAGAGCTGCGATGCATCTGAATAGGCACTAATTGCAAGACATTATAATGTTGCAGCTACAGTCTGGATTCCTCATCTCTGACCTAGAGACTGCCATTTCCCGGGGGGAGACAGGCTGCACTTCTCTGAGGAGGCTCTCTGATGGCCAGGCTACAGAAAGCATTCGTTAGCAACTACACCGCATCCTATCTGAAGGCTGATAAATGGATAATAGAGACAAGAAAAATTAAATGGTTCAGGGCTATAAATAGACTAAGCTGGCATGTCTATGCCACAGACAATCTGAAAAGATTGAGTCCCATTCTTGCAGCTTTCAGAGGGAGCCCGACATTAAAGAATAGAGCAGCTATTGTCCTAAATGCATTTCCCAACACACAGCCTGCTCAGAGCATCCCTCTTTCCAAGTAAGCTCCTGGGCCTGCCTCATTACAGCTGCAGTCTGGAAAACAGGCAATTAATTTTAAATGTGCGTCGCCTCCTTGACATCAGGTTCGGCACATTCATAGGGACCAAGTGCAGCTTTCTTAGAGAAGAAGCAGTTACACAGCTGCTGTGAACTGGTTTTCACGTAAGGGAAAAAGAAAGAAAAGCAGCGAGCTTTGGGGTCAGTCCGCCGGTTGGTTTTCCTTTGCTGTTAGTTTGGAATATGGTGTTTCAAATCCACTCTGCAGACTGCAAGTGATTTTGAGGGACTCAGATTCCTCTGCTGGTTTATGACCCGCATGGGAGGTGGCTCCATTAGAGCCATTTTACCCACCATGCTCGTC